TTAAATTTAATCAATTCGCTGCACATTAAATTATTCGTTAAACCCATTTCCAATAAACACCCTCAATTAATATGTTCGATTTATTTCCTCGTAATCCAGTTAAATTGACCCGTGCAAACAGCATTTTGTAAAAGAGTGAAAAGAATTCAGCTAGATTTTCGTTACCGGTTTATAACCGAGGTTGAAGTAAAGACGTTTGGAGAACAGATGTTATCGTTTCCTGTTTGTTCACTAGCTTATTGTCTTCTCGAAGTAATTCCACTAGGATGCCATAGCTTACAGAGTTGAAAATTGTGGAGGTAACTGATCTGATTTGTGGAGAACGTGACTGGAGAGTGAATTTCTACTTTCACCTTCGACGTCGATTGTTTGCTTGTTAGCGGAGTACCATGAACGAGATTCGATCGAGATCTTATTGTATTCGATACATGTTTTAGAGAAATGCTATTGTAAAAGGTTGAGCGAGAACAATTAAGAAACTTCGTTCGCGAAAGAAGGCAGCTCTTTTGTTCGTTTCGAAGTAACTCGTTGCAGGTTATCGAGGAATTAGCAACCTCAGGACTCGAGGAAAAGAAATATACAATTGTACGATGGTCACAGTCCACGTCGTGACTTCTGTTCGAACTTTCTACCGGATCGGGTAGTCTGTATGCTAATGCACCGGTGCATCATGACACGATACAGTTTTCCCAGATGACCCTCGAGTGAAAGTACGTTGGCTCGTTCGATCGATTCCACTCCGCACGGAAATCCTTACGTCCCGTGAAATGGCCGATAGACTTCCGTGAGGGACCAAAGATTACCGTGTTACACCAGATTTCGAAAATTTGTCAATTTCGCTAGTTCGCAAACTCCCAGATTCGGAAACTGGAAATTTAGGAATTTGCCAATTAGGTTTGTTAACCGGAGAACGTAGAATTCGTCAAGTTTACATATCCCAAACTCCCGAAATTTCTCAACTGCCAAACTACTAAAATTTGCAAATGCTCCAACTAAAATTCAAGCAGCGAAAGTCCAGCTTGCTTACCGCTATTTTCCCTAGAGAAGCCACCCGCTCGCCGGTTCATAGGTAGCCGTTCGAGTGTTCTATCCACGAGATCCCCGCTAACCTTGCTTCGCCAAAGAGGATTTCAGCGGGAACATTTCGTGCTACTTCGACAGGGTTCGTGGAAGCAAAGGATTAGATTTTCCACAGAAAATTCTGGTGTTTGAGGTAGACGCGAAAGCGGGATATTAAAGAGGATATATCAAGCGTTATTGCGCTAGTTCGCCGTAGTTAGGTTTCTCCCGGAGCACAGGGTATTCGAATAAATTTTCTCGATGAAACGTCGTGGAAAAGGATTTCAGTTTGTTGCGTTAGCACGGAATATTTCAACGATATTTCCTTTCGTCCTCCACGCGAGTCATTGATATTGTAACGAGTTTGCGCGAACAAACCAAATTTGCGTTATCTCAAAATTGTTTACTCTCTTTCCTGTTGTATTATTTCCACTTCTCTTTTACCGTTGGTCAAACTCTGGGATTTAAAACTTTCTCGACTCTTTTCTCTGTTTTTTTTGAATCAGCTGATACGTAAAATAAGCTATGACTCTGAATTAATATTAAAAAGAAGCCATGATTTTAGCGGATCAAGTTTATCGCTTAACAGGTTGGTTTTACCAACCTGTATATAGAGGGAACACACCGGTTACAGGTGGTCCAGCGAAGTTTACAGTTTCATTAGATTTACAGCGAACGAAGAGGCGGGTTCGTGGCACACTTTCTTGTTCGAACGGCCACGATTTCTAACTTGCGTCGTTACACGAGCTCTATTCTTCAATCGTGCAACAATAAAGCGTTTTCGAGCGGAGAGAAAAAAAGGGTAGCTTGACCATATAGAGAGAATATATTGACGCATAAATCGTTGCTCGTTATGTGCCGGTGTATTCGAGATGCTCCGAGAGTCTTGAACTTCGTTGCTAACAACGAACGAGACAGCTAATATAATAACTCGAAAATAAATTCTTTTCGTTCCCTTGAGAATTCGTTCATTTTTATTGGCCAATCAATTTCGTGTAATAAAGAACTTATATCGTATAATACGAGGTTTCTACCGCGGATAAAGTACTCGTGTACCACAGTGTGTCCATAACGAGTAACCTGGTCTCCGGACATTAAATTGCTGCTCATTTTACATTAAAAACGTTCGCGATTTATGTAATTCGTTTCATCAAAATTTAATCCGCGTATCGATACGCGACCGTGTCATCGAACCGCGTCGGATTGTCCTCGTTTCGAAGTCCGCGCAACGGTCAAATAGAATCGTTTGATCGAGTTTTGGAATTCAGATGTACTACGGAAACACGGCAAACACCTGAGTCATTGTTATCTCAGACAGGGTATCTTCCGTGTCCAAGCAATTCTCGTTAATGCGTTCCCGATTCCCCGATTAGCTTAAGCAGTCGAATAACGGAGTACTTACGTCACCGCCGTTTCAAATTTTCCTAAAGTACCTCTTCGGATACGATACTCCGACTTCGAATAGAATTTTTGAAAATTGAAGAGTTACGTAAGCCGTTACGAGTATTGCTCGTAACATTTTAAACCCGGAATCTAAAGGATTCGTATCATTTTCTGGGAGTGGAAGAAATTTTACATTGTCGCGTTAAAACGGATGACACGCGGTAAATAACGAAAGGAAGTTGGTGGAATCGTTGAAAGTACTTGATTAAGCGATTGAAGTTTCACGAGTCCGAAAACGTTTGACCAGGTTGATCAAGGATTCCAATTGGCACACGCTAGTCGGTTAATCTTTGACCGGGATCACCAGGAAGTGATATCACCTTGACAACCCGTAAATACGTAATGAAGTGTGGAAACGCCGCATGCTCGGACCCGTGAACGCCTCCATTCGTCATTGTGCTCGCCATGCCGTGCCTTCGAATTTATAATCCCACATGCTCGTCCGGCACACTTCTCCCGTGATTCATCGTCTTACGTACGCGCTTCTGACAGATGGACGACCATCGAACTGGATGAAACTGTTACGTTCCTCGCGTTTCTTTATTTTTTGTTAGAGTGCATCGGGGACGATCGTATCGGTAACCTCGCCGAATCAAGTTTGCCAAGACGCGATCAAATTGGTTGCAACTCCGAGAGAGCGACGCGTTTGTAAACTCTAACTTCATCTTACCTAATCTGACCTAACTAACTAAACCTAACCTTAACTTTATCTAACTTCATTATCGAGAGCTTAAGTCGGACTATGGAGCAGTATGTTAGAGTAGTTTGGTGTATCAGATTATAGCAGAATTTTATTACAGTATAGAGCATAAGGAAATATGAAAATATGATTCCATAATAGTAGAAGTCCGTAGAGTAAAGCTTAATCAAAATAGACAGAAAAATAAGAAACAATCTAATTTCGAACGATGTCGAAAATTCCTGGTTTCCGTTTTTGTGGGGATTCCTAGTATAGTTCGAGGACCGCAGAATAGATGGCGCCACGAATCTAATATAATTCTTCGAAACTACCCCTGTTAGAGAAAAAGTTTCGACTATAATCCAACGAATGGTCTTTTCAAGATATTTTTGACCATAAAATCGAAGTTTTGTAGCCGAGGATCTTTTTCCTCGCGGTGTTTCCTATTCACTCTCGGTAGAACGAGAATCGGTAAGCGTTTACGTTCGTGACACTGGAAGTCGCCAAAGTTTCTAGATCACACGAAAAGGAAACGAAAAGGTGTTAATCTTTGTGGATCGCGTCGAATGGAAGATGGTAACAGGTGTTAACGCCTTTTGTAAGCATCGATGGATTTTTAAGCGTTATCGCTCACGGAGCTTGTCTAACGTACAAATAAGGAACGCGTTAACACAGAGGTAGCATTATTACCGAGTGTGCGCTCGTTTTTATCAGATCGGAGTCAAAATTTCCTCGACGATAGTTAACCCTTGCTGTAAAAAATGTTCTCATTTACAAGAAACCGATCGTTTAAGAATTGTAACGAAACATCGTATACATAAGTTTTCTTAAAGTCAGCATTATCGTAAGCGCATCTTCGGCGCTTGAGGTATGAAATTACGGCTGGAGGAAATATTATAAAATAAAAGTGATTTCAGGTTCTCGGTGCCGTACATTATCGTGATGAATCTTCCTTCGTCATTCGTTAAAATTCTTGATGATAATAGATTACGACCTCACAGGACCTTATCTCGCGGATGATCTCCGAAACCCGAGACGGGAAATTGGGCAATTAAGCGAATAGTTTAGTAAAATGCATCCGTCGAATTCATTTTATTTGGTATTTCTTACGGTCACGCACACTTTCTTCGGTGTTCATTCATAACGCTCGCTTCCAACTTCGATTAATTACACTTTACGTTGTCGTTCCAGCGATCTCGTTCGTTCGCGCAATTACTAAGTACGATTAAATTTTCTTTTAAAACGAAGCTCTTTATTTTCCCTGGCAAAGATCACCGTTTCTCCGTTCTTTTTCTCGCGAGACGCTCTTCTGTTCCCTCGCGCTCCATGGACGACAAGGTGTTCGATCGTTCGATCACGAAAAAAGTTGGAAAGTCCTGCCTCCGCGGCCCCACTCCGTCGACCGGAAGCGTCGAGGTACAAACGATGTTCCGAAAAGGGAGACGGTGGGGGTCAAAGACAACAAATCACGAGGGTTGTCCGTTGGAAAGCGTAAGAACACGAGCACTCGCCACGAGACAACCCCGTTGAAGAGTTGTTCGACGGCGAATAAGCTCGGAGAGGAAGGGGAGAGGCGGTTGATAAATGCGCGCTCGTACTCCTAGGAACCAGTTTGGTGTTTACCTAGTAAGTAGCGCTGTCAGTCAGCTGGTTCGTTGCATCTTCGGCGAGGAAGCCGGCCGTGGCGGCAAAACGCAGTCCGTCTCGTTCGCTCTCGGCGGAGGGGAATCGTGGGGAACGGGTGGGAATAGGAGGGAATAGAGTCGGGAGCGTTGGAGGGATAGATCCTGCGGGTGGTGGAGGTAAAATTGGCCAGTGGTGGGGCGAGGAGTGGGGTTAGCTGCACGCCGCCAGTCACACAGGGTGCGTGAGCATCGTCGGGATAGGGATTCGGAGTCGGAGTCAGTTGGTGTCGGACGTTCGTGGTGGAACGTCGACGTCGCGTCTGGCTCTCGGTCCACTCGTTCGTAATTTCTCACGAGGACCAACGCGGTTTCGACGCAGTCTTAGAGTGAACGCGAACGGGAACGTTAAGTGGTTATGACCGATCGGTGTTCGAACGAGAAACAACATCGTCGTCGGATCAGTTCGAACAGCGTCCTCGATCGTTAGCGCGTCCGTCGGTGCGAGATCCGACGGCGAAGGACATTTCGGTGGATCGCGGAAAGGGCACTCGCGGTGAACGGTGTCGTGTCGAGTGACTATGAGTGCGTGACGACGGGACGACGTCGTTAACCGATCGCTGAGCAAGTTCGGTTGTCCGTGCGCGAGGAACGCGACATTGTTCTCGGAATGGAAACGACTCGGCGGTGTTCGTTGGCCCTGTTGGGTATCGTCTGGTGTCTGTTCGCTAGCGGAGGGCTGATACGCGCGAGAAGCATCACCAGTCTGGAGGCACCGAGCGACTGCGAGTGGAAAAAAGACGGCGACGAGGGAGAGAAAGAGCTGGCCTGTAGGGTCAGGACGATCGCAAACGTGCCCGGCCTAATTGGCAATCTCTCGAGCATTCAATTGGACTCGATCAGCTCTCTGGCCTTGGAATGCAGCGACGTGTTGTTCTTCGAGAGCCAGATAGACGGACCTCGCGGCTTCTTCTCGCCGCTGCCGCGTCTGGAGAAGCTCCGCGTGGATTATTGCAAGATTCGCAATCTGCCGGCCGGCGTTTTCTCCTCGGCCCACAATCTGCGTACGTTGGCCCTGCGGACGCACAACGGCGACTGGTCGGCGATGACTTTGGAGCTGCACGGAGACTCGCTTCGAGGATTGTCGGGTCTGCAACATCTCGATCTGTCGGACAACAATCTGTGGACGCTACCGTCCGAATTGTTCTGCCCCGTGCAGAGCCTGACCACCCTGAACCTGACGCGCAACAAGTTACAGGATATCGTCTCTCTGGGTTTCGCCGACTGGGTCGAATCCTGCACGCCCAGCTTGGAAGTGTTGGATCTGAGCAACAACGACCTCGGTGCGTTGCCGGATCGAGTGCTGAACAATTTGCGCAGCCTAACGGTGCTGAGGTTACAGGAGAACGTGATCGACGCCGTGGGCGACGACGCGCTCGCCGGTCTTCACGCGCTTCGTTCCCTGAACATGTCCAGTAATAAATTGGTCGCGTTGCCGCCGGAATTGTTCTCGAAGACGAAAGAATTGAGGGAGTTGATCTTGAGCAACAACTCGTTGACGGTGTTGGCCCCGGGATTATTGGACAACCTCGACGAGCTTCAAGTGCTGGATCTGAGCAGCAACGAGCTTACGAATCATTGGGTGAATCGAGACACGTTCTCGAGGCTGGTGCGTCTGGTGATACTCGACCTGTCGTTCAACGGACTCTCGCGAATCGACGCCCACGTGTTCAAGGGCCTGTACAGCCTTCAGATTCTGAAGCTCGAGCACAACGACATCGACACGCTGGTGGACGGTTGCTTCGGTTCTTTAACGAATCTCCATTCGCTGACTCTGTCCCACAATCGAATAGCCAGATTCGATCCGGCTCACACGATCGGCTTGAACACTCTCGGCCAGCTGTTCCTCGACACGAACAAACTGAGAACGTTGCACCGTCACGTGTTCGATAACCTGACCGGGTTGCAAGATCTCTCGCTGAGCGGAAACTATCTGACGGAGATACCGTACGCGGTTCGCGTGCTACGCTCGCTGAAGACCCTCGACCTTGGCAACAACCACGTGTCCAGAATAGACAACGACTCGTTCGCCGGACTGAGCGAACTGTACGGGCTACGGCTGGTGGACAACAAGCTGGAGAACGTGTCGCGCGACGCATTTGCCACTTTACCGGCTCTGCAAGTGTTGAATCTGGCGAACAATTATATCCGTCACGTGGAGCAGAGCGCGTTCGCGAGCAACACGGTGTTGCGCGCCATCAGGTTGGACGGGAACCAGCTAACCGAGATCCGCGGCGCGTTCACCAGCCTCTCGACCCTGGTCTGGCTGAACGTCTCGGACAATAAGCTGTTGTGGTTCGACTACAGTCATTTGCCGACCAGCATAGAGTGGCTGGACATACACGCGAATCAGATAAGCGAGCTGGGGAATTATTACACGGTGCGGAACACGTTGCGTATAAAGATGCTGGACGCGAGCTACAACCAAATCACCGAGATAGCCGAGGTGAACGTGCCCGACAGCGTGGAAACGCTGTTCCTGAACAACAACAAAATACGCGCGGTGGCCTCCGGTACGTTCCTGCAGAAGAGGAGCCTGCAGAAAGTGGTGTTGTACGGGAACGAGATAAGGAATCTCGAGGTGAGCAGCCTCGCGTTGCAAACCGTGCCGGAGGAGGAGGAGTTGCCTCAATTCTACATCGGGAACAATCCGATCCTCTGCGACTGCACGATGGAATGGTTGCCTAGGATCAACGAGATGGCTCGTCTTCGGCAACATCCCCGCGTGATGGATCTCGACTCGGTCACCTGCGAGATGGTGCACGCTCGAGCGACGCCTCGACGACCTCTGCTGTCGCTGAAACCGAAGGACTTTCTCTGCCGATACGACGCGCATTGTTTCGCCCTTTGCCATTGTTGCGACTTCGACGCGTGCGACTGCGAGATGACGTGCCCGGACAATTGTTCGTGTTATCACGACCACAGCTGGTCGAGCAACGTGGTGGACTGTTCGAACGCCGGCTACAAGCGTGTCCCGGAACGGATACCCATGGACGCGACCGAGATCTATCTGGACGGGAACGAGCTCGGAGACCTGGGCAGCCACGTGTTCATTGGTAAGCGACGCTTGGAGGTGTTGTACCTAAACAACAGCGGCATCGCCGCGCTTCACAATTGCACGTTCAACGGCGTGGGCGCTCTGCGCGTCCTTCACCTCGAGGACAATGCCCTGCGCGAGTTGCGAGGCTTCGAGTTCGATCAGCTGGAACGGATGTCCGAGCTGTATCTGGATCACAACGCGATCGCGACCGTGGGCAACACCACGTTCCGCAAGATGAAGAATCTCGAGGTGCTCCGGTTGGACAGCAACCGTAGCCGACCAGCATAGAGTGGCTGGACATACACGCGAATCAGATAAGCGAGCTGGGGAATTATTACACGGTGCGGAACACGTTGCGTATAAAGATGCTGGACGCGAGCTACAACCAAATCACCGAGATAGCCGAGGTGAACGTGCCCGACAGCGTGGAAACGCTGTTCCTGAACAACAACAAAATACGCGCGGTGGCCTCCGGTACGTTCCTGCAGAAGAGGAGCCTGCAGAAAGTGGTGTTGTACGGGAACGAGATAAGGAATCTCGAGGTGAGCAGCCTCGCGTTGCAAACCGTGCCGGAGGAGGAGGAGTTGCCTCAATTCTACATCGGGAACAATCCGATCCTCTGCGACTGCACGATGGAATGGTTGCCTAGGATCAACGAGATGGCTCGTCTTCGGCAACATCCCCGCGTGATGGATCTCGACTCGGTCACCTGCGAGATGGTGCACGCTCGAGCGACGCCTCGACGACCTCTGCTGTCGCTGAAACCGAAGGACTTTCTCTGCCGATACGACGCGCATTGTTTCGCCCTTTGCCATTGTTGCGACTTCGACGCGTGCGACTGCGAGATGACGTGCCCGGACAATTGTTCGTGTTATCACGACCACAGCTGGTCGAGCAACGTGGTGGACTGTTCGAACGCCGGCTACAAGCGTGTCCCGGAACGGATACCCATGGACGCGACCGAGATCTATCTGGACGGGAACGAGCTCGGAGACCTGGGCAGCCACGTGTTCATTGGTAAGCGACGCTTGGAGGTGTTGTACCTAAACAACAGCGGCATCGCCGCGCTTCACAATTGCACGTTCAACGGCGTGGGCGCTCTGCGCGTCCTTCACCTCGAGGACAATGCCCTGCGCGAGTTGCGAGGCTTCGAGTTCGATCAGCTGGAACGGATGTCCGAGCTGTATCTGGATCACAACGCGATCGCGACCGTGGGCAACACCACGTTCCGCAAGATGAAGAATCTCGAGGTGCTCCGGTTGGACAGCAACCGTATCGTCGACTTTCGACCGTGGGAGGCGTTGCCGAGCGTCGGCGACAGAGCCAAGGTCGCCCTGGAGGGCAACGCTTGGAGCTGCGAGTGCGGCAACGCGGCCAAATTGCGCGGCTGGTTGGCCGAGCATCGCGGCGATCCCGAGAAGATGTACTGCCGCGACGGCGTCGAGACTCTGGCGCAGGCTATGAAGCGTTGCGGCGATCCGTCGACCGAAGCCGTCAGCCGTGGAATTCAGGAGATCCCTCTGCTAGGTGGCAACTTCGTGCCGCTTTTAGCCGGCGCCTTGGTGGCCGTGATCGCGATCTGTCTGTTCGTCGCTCTCGCCTTCGCCTTTCGCCAAGACGTCCGTCTGTGGGCGCACGCGCGATACGGCCTTCGTCTCGGCAAGATGACCACGCCGCCCGACGAGGAACGAGACCGTCTCTACGACGGTTACATCGTCTACAGCGAACGCGACGAAGACTTTGTCTCCAGGTTCCTGGCCGCGGAGCTCGAGCAATCCGGGCTCGCTCTGTGCCTCCATTGGCGAGATCTGCCCCCGGCGAGGCCGCAGGAAGCGG